CGAGGTGGTGCAAACAGAACTGGCCAAACTGGAGCAAGACGGAGCCATTCGGCGTGTCACCAACCCCACACCTCGGGACGCTGGACTGTTCATGGTTCCAAAGTCGTCGGGAGGTTACCGTGTCTGTATCGACTTTACAAAATTAAATCAAGTTGTCCCGAGAGAACGTCATGTGCTCCCCACCGTCGATCAAGTCCTGGGACTTCTGGGCGATGCGGCAGTCTTCTCGAAGCTCAAAGTTACCTCAAGCTTCCATCAGGTCAAGCTTTCCAAGGACTCTCAAGAGCTTACGATGTTCATTACGCCGTATGGGCGTTATTGCTTTTGCCGACTCCCATTTGGCATCACGTCGGCCCCTGAGTTTTTCCAGCGACAGGTGGCGTGGATCTTGGAAGTCCTAGACGGATTGGTCAACATGGTCGACGACATCCTAGTCTTCGGCAGAACGAAAAAGGAACATGACCAACGCCTGCGGCAGGTGCTGTTGTGTCTCTCCGAGGCCGGCGTCACCCCTAGCTTCCGTCGACGGTTCGGCCTCAGGTGGACCTGTCTACTCGCGTCATCGTGATGTGCCTCGTCCAGCATCACCACCACGTGTTCGTGGTGATGGTACGGGCCGACACTACTCAACCCATTCTGGAAGACAAGTGGTCGCTCCCAAGAGACTCAATCTGTAAAACTTTGTTTTTTTTCACAGCCAAGGTGTCCGATACTCTCCTTGAACATTCTAAAGGGGGGATTTTGCGGGCGGTGCTAGTGCCAAGTTTGGACACTTTCGGTAATCGGGTTGCAAACACTGTGCCCACGTCTTGTGTAAAAAGCCATTGCCTCGTGTGATAAAGGTGCCTTTTGGTTCCTAGCTCTGGACGCTCAGTTGGTTGCTTGCCGTCGCTGGTGGGCTGTGCAGTTTCACCGCCGGCCACAGCCCGGCACGGCAGTGTCACAAAGGAATCAACCTCATTTTTAATGCCAAAGACTTGGAGAACATATAATAAACCAACTTTTGTGAACTGAAAGTGGCTGTCATGACAAGTAGTTGGAATGCCTCAGACTGCTCATGTCGGCACAAGAATTTGTTGCAAACTGTAGCGCGTACCTCTGTCCGATATAGTAGTCGCAATATTTGTGTACTGAAAATAGAGTTTGTGCACTGTGCATGCTAAATTTCATACACTTTTCCATTGTTTACAAACCCACGCCCCAGCGTGTAATCTTCACAGCCTAGCATGCGCGTGGTCGTCAGTTGTGAAACCGTCCAAAGCACGCGCCATACACACAAACACTAAAGATGGTATGAGAGCGTGTGACACCTAAAGAGGGCATGATCCTCTTCTGCATTATGCGCGAAAGTTCCAACAACGACCATGTGCTGTGGCTACCAACGCCGCTTCCGGCGGCCCACCTGGGAGCAAAATTGGTTTACGGTAGTGTCGTTACTGATTTCAGCGCTATTGATGGTGAAATTTTGGTTGCACGTCAAGGTCCCCACATGTTCTTCCTCTGGGGTGACAGACATCTTCCTTTGGTTTAATCTGTAAACCCTCTAATCTTCATTTGCTGGGGCATATTGACGGAGAATTTTAGTAATTCGCACAATTTACAATGCAACAGCTTGTTTTCAACATCTTGAATTTTTGCCTGTGGCACACGCAATGGCATCTCAGTTAAAGCCCCTTCATGTTTTAAAAGTAGCGCAAAGTGCGTCGATGCACGAGGCACGTGCAACATGCAGCCCTTGGGAAGATCATGGCGACACAGCGCAGCACTGAGCTAGATTTCAGACGCCATGTCCTTCCCAGAAGTGGCACACGGTACGTGTCTCGAGAATTTCCACAACAATGAATGGCGCCACTTTTCCCAGGATAGAGGGGCTTTAATCTCAGTCTGCCTGTTGCCCCACCAAACAGTTCTGCTAGGAGTCGACTGTGGCCCCACCATTACGTCTATTTTTCTTTATTAACCACTACATTTCCGCCCTTTTTAGAGGATATGTGTGTATTAAAATAAAACATCCAAAAGTATTGAAATTAATTTAATCAGTCCTAGTTAAAAATTAAGAATAATCAAATGCTCGCTACTCTGTCGTGTAGTGTGCAACCAATCTAAAATTAAAACCTGGCAAGTTTGGACAACATTTTATTGCGTTGAGTACTTCTGACAGGAATCCTAACGTCCTTGATTTCTTTCATCATGACCATCTACCTTTGCTTTGAAACATTTATTTAACGACCAAAGAAGTGGCCACCATATCTGCCCTGCTGTTTGGGCATAAAAAGAGGAAAAGCTTTTAATCTTCTCGGGAGCTTCCAGGGCGAATGAGACAAGTGGCAGCGATCAGGGACTCCTGGGGCTTCAGTAGTCTGGAGTCACCTGGTTGATCTCGGCGAGTATGGTTTCCTTGAGTGCCGTAGGGAGGTTCTGAAGTTGCCCGACTGTGACGTTGTTGGGGGCCAGGTGCACTGCGAGTGGAGGGTGAACGGGCAATCCATCCCAAGAGCTTGGTGACAGGGTGAACACAAGTGTAGCATCCAGAGTCATGTTGCGCTGGTTGCGGAAAAAAGACGTCCGAGGCCCGTTCAGCTAGCTCCTCGGGAGAGACACCTTTGCGAAGGGCAACAGTGGCAGCAAATTGCCTAGGTTTGTGGTCCCCGAGGAGAGAACGGAGGAGCCTTCAAACTTTCGAAAGATGGCTATTGCCGGAGATGGATCTGCACAGGGAAGTCCAGCAGTTGGAAGCGAGTTCCGAAGTGTAGCACGAGATAGTCTTTTGGAGTTTATGTGAAGGTTTGAGGAGTCGTCGTGGTCTGCGAGAACGGCGGTAACAGGCCAACAGGTGAATGCGGCGGTCCAGTAAGTAAATGCTCGTCAAAGCGGCATCGTCCGGTACGGTTAGCCGCTTTGTGGCAGACTTGTGGGCGGACTGGATAGCTTGTATAATGTCGGAAAAGCCAGCAAGTTCCATGACAGAAGAAAGAGCTGCTCGGAAGTTGTCCCACTTAGTGAAGAATGTGTCGCAGCAGGCGCGACAGTGAGATAGGGTTGCGGATAGGAAGTCGTAGCGTAAAATAATGGGGAGGTGATCACCGCCGAGGCGGTCGCCGGCGACATGCCATCTCCAGCGTCGAGGGTAACGAGCACAGGTAAAGTCGGGGCAGGTGTCCTGCTGTTGGGAGGATTGTTTGATACGTGTGGGGGTGTCTGGGATGTTGAGGAACGAAAGTTTCAGCCCTGTGAGGTCTGCAAGAAGCCGCGTGCCGTGGGGAAGGTCAATGTCGTAGCCCCATGCGTGTGTTTGGCATTAAGATCACCGCAAACGGGAACGTCGTCTTTTGGATAAAGACGGGCGAAGTGCTTAAAAAAAGGGATGTTTAGCGGCTGCCTTGTCCAGCGGTTTAGCGATGTGTCTGGAGCCACATAGACAGAGAAGAGAAAAACGGGCCGTTGAGGAATTGGCGGCAACCCGTAACGCTGGTCATTGCAGAGCACCTCTGTGAGGTGTCGAGAAGAGTGAAGCACACTGATCGATGAACGTACAGGGCGGAACGAATCCAAGGCAAGGGGGCACTAGTCTCAATGTTCGGAGCAAGTCCATCGTACTGTGGCAAAGAAGGGAGGGGGCCGTTGATTTCTTGTAGAGCAAACGCAGCGGCCATGTCGGATGACGAGTGAAGATAAAATTTTTCGATGAAGTCTGCCTTCTTCTGTTTAAGCGAGCAACAGTTCCACTGAACAATCCTGGGGGCGCTAACCATGTTTGCGTGGTGATAGTGGGGGGCCGCCGAACGGAATGATGCCCTGCATCGCGAGGCGCCCGATTACTGCACGGGTGCAGGTATCCACGAGAGTAAACAGCGAGTTTTGCATCGTCGGAATTCGCTGCGTGGCTGCCAGCATTTGTTTTGTGAAAAGGGTGATTTGTTGTTGCAAGCCAGTAAAGTCTGACCCTGACGGAAGTAGGGCAGGCGTCTCACTAGTGCTGTTGACAGCTCTCGCTGATTCTGCGAAGGTGGTCCGAGGCGGTTCTGATGTTGGGACTTGTGTGAGGTCGGCGGTGATGTTGTGTGCCGGCGTTAGGAGTTTTGTGGCGAGCACCGGGCGGGAGTCAGTCTTCTGCTTCGCAGACCTCGGTGCTGCGATGAGGGCTTTGGGCGCAGATAACAGCACAGCTTGCTGAGCAGGAGCTAGTTTCAGGCGTCACTGGTGGTGACGCCGGCTTCTCTTTGGATGTTGATGAAGGCAACTGACGACGCTGTGTTGTGCCGTTGGCTTGGGTGCTGTTGGGGCACTGGGCAACGCGAGGCTGGTGCCGTCGAATGTAATGAGTGCCGACCCAGAGTTTGTGAGAGGACCGGCCTGGAGGATAGCAGATTTCCGGCAATGAAGGTTTTTTAGGACGCAGAATCCAGGTCGCCAGACTTTTTTTATGAATCCGCGAACCTGGCCACGGCGAATGGCCTCGTAGCCTTGCACGGAGACCTGCAGAGTGCCGATCGGGATGTATGTTACATTGAGGAATGCATCGCACACTTGAGACAAAGCAGCATCAACTGCAAGTTGATTACTGCAGTCGAGGTACCTCACTTGGTAGGGGGCTGCAATGGTGTAGGAGACCTGAGGTCTATCTGTGCAGCAACTGCAGAGTCAATGGCAAGAAAGACCCCGTCCATGATGCGGCATGGTTTGGCCGGCCGTAGAATGACAGTGTGGGAGAACTCACTGCAGAACGATGCTGCTGGAGGCGCCGCGGGCGGGGCCGCCTTACGTCGGCGAGAGACAGGATGCCATCCGTCCTCCAGGGGGAACGAGTCAGGGTTCGAGTCACGTTGGATGCACCGGGGTGAGGTGGTAAGCTTAGTCGCAGCGGCGCCGAAGAAAAAAATGCCACGAGCACGCTTCGTTTCATTGGCGGCAGTGCGGATGTGGCAACTGTTGTTGAGGGGCGACAACTTGCTTTCGGGATCATCGTCGCCGAGGATGGAGAATAGATTCTGAGTAAAGACCGCAGGTTGAATTCACGCGGCAACAAGTGGTGCATCAAGAAGCGACGTGACGGCAGGAGTGGTTGCACCGGCTGTGGGTGGTGCATTGAGCGGTAAGCTTCAGACAGCGGGAGAAGCCAGCGTGGCCTCGGTGGGTTGTGAGTCCATTTCGTTGGGTAGAGGAAAGTCCCGAGGGCCGTAGTCGGTGCTAATGGTCGTCATGGGTCATGAGGGCGTGTGGGCACAAAAAGTTGCCGGAGCTGAAGTGAGCTAGATAGAGAGATATGGCCTCTTTTTTCTCCACGACCATCTACGAAGCCACAAGACTGCAGCTCTAGCTTCGACTGAGCAGTGGCTCTCTCGTGAAATTGCACAGCAAAGCACAGACCTTCCAGATAGAGTCCAGGCTCTTGCTCATACTGTTTGGGAAAGTACCCCTCAAGATTCGAAAACACTTCATTTGTCCAATCACTCGTTCCACGTGGATCCGGACCTTCGCAATCGCCCTAGTTTTCGCTTCGTCCTCCAGGGAGAGCTGTAGCCTTCCCCCAAGGAAAGGTGGAATGTTCAGGTTAGCCCCTGCAGCTTCGACCTCTTCAGTGATCAAAAAGCCTCTGTCCGCCATGACAGAGTCTCCGGGCTCAAGAAGGTTGCATAGCCCGGAACATGCGGTCAGGGCTTTGTCAGAGACGCGGCCAGGGGCAAGGTCGCTCACGAACGACACGAACCCATTGGGGGTGATGCCCAGCAGTCCCTTGGCAGTGTTGTGGCACTTGTAGCTTGAGTAGGTATCACTCTGCACCCTGAAGTCGCTAGGTGTCTCGATGAAGATTTCCGTGCAATCCAGAATGACTCTCGTCGATGGATACGCCTCGATGAAGCACTCCGGCATGTGCTTGTTCACAACCTGTCGCGACGGCCAGTAGTTGAGTTGAGCAAGGTAGTCCGCTAGGTAACCAATCCAGAATGTCCACACCCGGCTGACTGTGCTGATGTGGATACGAAACCGGTATGCAAGGTCCTGCTCCAAAAGTCCCACCCTCAGGCGGGACAACACGAGCAGCAGCTGATCATCCATGGATAGATAAGGTGACCTTCTCTGCGGACCTTGACTTTCCTTGTGAGCTTCATAACCTGCCTGAACAAACTTGTAAAAGGCGAGAAATCTCTCCAGGGAGTCGAATCCCGTGTAGAAGGCCAGTTTCTTTGGGTCCTGTTGCACGGCTGTGAGCGTGAAGTTCTGAAAGGGGATTGTAGCATCGATGACCTCCTCTGCTTTGTCATACATCTCCTCAAGATGGGCTACTTTCTTCCGCAGAGCTTCATTTTCTTTCTGTAGACGGTCGTTGTCCTTGCGCAGTTTCTCGTTTGCAGAAGCGAGCTCCTCTAGCTGCCTGATGCGATCACGCAGGGCTTGATCGATACATCCTGTGATGCTGTACTGGTGGTCTGCCAGATGGGGAGATAGCAAAATAAATATCACATCATTTTTGCAGTCAAATATCAAAACAAAAAACTAGGCTTTCTCCTTGTAATTGCCTTGGCTCTGCCAAATAGCATATCATGTGCCATACAAAAAAAGCATCACATGTTAAAGGGGCCAAGAAACGATATGCATTTGGATGTTCTGCACCTCATACAAGCATACTGACGTCTGTAGCACAAATATAATCTATATAATAATCTATATACCACAAACCAGAGGCTCCCCTGCCAAGGTTATATTCTGAGGAATAGAAGGCTAATTTACAGTCAGAAATCACAATGTTGAGAAAGCCTAGGGTTCACACCAGGGTGACGACACTTGAATACAGACGGCTTATGAACTGGACCCAAGCACTGAGTGAGCACCTGACTATTTGGTTACAATCAATGCCATGGTAACTATTGGGGCTTGGGCTTGTGTCTAATCACTGCGCCAACAGTAGCAGCTAACCCCTAACAGTAATCATGTGATTATTTTACCTGGCTGTGAGGAAGAGCAGAATATTGCTTGTTCTCAAGCTTTATTGTGCGACAGCAGCATTTAGCAGAAGTAACTGAGTCGGTTTATGACCTCTTTAATGCTGCTCTGTTCCACACGAAGGAGCTATAATGGGAATGCTGGCTATTCGCCTTGAGATCCGATCGTCAGGGGTGCTGCGGGGAAATGCGGAACTAAGCTTTGTTCTACACTTACTTGGAGCACGGAGAATGCTGCGGACGCTAACTCGAAGCCCTGAGAGGCTCCGGTGCAGCGTTCGTGCGCATGCATTGGAGTCAACTGCGAATTCTAAGAGCATGCATAGCCTTGCCCGTGCTCCATAACAAAAGTGGGGATGGTTTTTTTGTGGACGCCAGAGAATCGCCGCTTGTCTTGTAGGAAACAATGGATAAACAAAAGCATGTGTCCCCACTTTTCAATCTGGATCTTGAGGCAAATAACATGCAAGCAGGGCTGTGGCAGCATCTCCTTTGTACCTGGCAGACAATGAAGTGAGGGTGTGACCGCAATCTGAAAGAACAACTCCGCGGGTACCTTGCATGTGCGGTATCTTAGAGTGCACCGTGCCATATGGTGCTGCGAGTATGGAACGGCCACAACTTGCGTGCTATAGCCAGCGGTGACTGAGTTAGTACAGTTTGTAAAGTTCGACGTACTGCATGTAAGTGTTCCATGCACCTATCGGGACTGCTGCACAGTTGACAGGGATGCCAAATAAACAGACGAGCAACACTGATGCTCAATGTTAGGAGCTTACCGCTAGCTATTACATCATCAGTGTCAGGGGCACCAGCGGAGGCCAAGGGGCTGCCGGGTTGTGCTGGCTCCTGGCTAGCAGGCAGGGTCACGGTCTGTGCCAGGTCAAGGTCCGACAGAAAGTAGGCCGGCAGCGGCTGCAGCGCATGGCGCTTCCTTGCGCAGATCATGTTTGGGACCTTTGGGCAGGCCGCAACATCTGCAGGCAAGGATAAGGCAATTGTTCACGCAATTATTTTATAAGCATTACATACCGGCTGGAATTCTGTCTAGCACAGGGCACAGCTTACACTGTACGGAGCACATAACATGTCAAACAACCAAGAGCTCAGCTGGATCAATAGCGGTCACTGTTTCTACCCTTTGGTAGCTGGTCTGGAATGTTGTAGCCAAATAGCGATTGTTGCAGTTCTTTCTGAGACGAAGTGCATTCAACAGCCACCGGCGTATAAAAGAAGGGAACAAAGTTTATATCCTTATTCAACATAGTTTGGCACACAACAAAAGGTTTGTCCCAAGCGAGCCAATCAGAGTACACTTCTCTAGTAAAGAGCTGTCACATACATTTGACTTCAACACTTCAATCAGTTCACAGGGGTTATAGAGTCTGCCACCTGCCATGTTACTGTGAAATCGACTATATTCGGTGCCATCTTAGGCTGTCCATACTTGCCTAAAGGGCCCTTTATTAAACATAATTATATTTCCGCATTCATATGTGTTTCCATTTGTGACACGAACGATATGCACAGCTGCAACTTCTTACAAAGCAGTTGGCTCAAGCATATTACGACCGCAAACTCCTGACAAGGCATGTCCAACTCTATCTGCTTGAATGGTCACTAGGAAGCTGCCTAGTCAAGCAAACACGGTGGACAGTAATTATAGAGTCCTTGCACCTGACGTCAGTTTTCGCTCAAAATATTTCTAGAATTCATGTTGGTACATTTTCTCCTATGTTTTTCTATGTGCTAAGAGAGTGTTTTCCAGCTCGCTGAAGTCCTCTTGCATTGTGACCGACTGTGTCAGATAGAGCAGTCGGAAATATAAAGAAGCATCGTCTGGTACCGTTCAAACACACTGCTGTTATTTAGAGTCGAGATGAGCTGGCACTTCAATGTACGACAGGAAACATGCAGAGCCTTCACTACTTTCCACAACGAGAGAGCTGGATTAAAAGCTGTCATTTGGGGCCATCAGAGATGAAGGCAGCAGAGCGACATCCCCTGGTGCCTTGAGCAGCAAGCTAGCTAAGCCAAGCCAAATCCTTGAAAAAGGCAGTCAGTAGGTTTATATGCCACCTATTCCCACTGCAAATTTAATGACGGACGAGAATGTTATACTTTTTCAGTTTCAGTGATATCCTTGATGCTACTTAACCGCACGTCGCAAAACCTCTTTTCGATTGCAGTCCATTTGCGTCGTCTAGCCGTTGAGAGATCTCATGTATTCAGACAAAACATTGTTATTATGTCTGCAGCTCTACAAAATCTGACATTACGATTGCTTGAAGCTCCGTCTTTTTCTATGAGAGCGATGATTGCTTCCGTAGGTCACGTATTTCGCCATGCTCACTGGGTAGCACCGCTGTCCACAAATCACCAGACGCCACCAGCAGTGACGTAGCTCACGTGAGAAACGACCCATGTATACAGTGATCACAAGCAAGAATATAAGCAGGGAAAAACAACTATTGCAGAAAGAAACAAAAATAGGCAAATAACATACACTTCGGAAATGTCCTGGTTGGAAAAAACCGGGGAGCTTTGTCCTCGTACTTCTTTCTCCCAGTTTCGTTAAAATGAGCGCCGCATATTCTGCTGTCAGAGGTTGGCGTCCACAGAGAGAACCGTCCAGTGGTACCTGCATGCAAAAGAAGCAGTTAGCACCATATTAAGATTCACCCATTCAACTTTGGAGCAAGTGCAACTCAATCTCAGTGGTAAGAATGGATGCAGCAGCCGTGGCGTCTGAACAGGGGCGTCAGTAAACTATCCGGGCAAGGGGGTAGAATTCAGTTCTCCTCCTCCCCCATCGTCACCCCACCGCCTTCTAAACACTTCCAGTACCATTGTGCAGCGGGCACTAAGAACAAGCACATAGTTTATGCCTAACAAACCTGGAGTGGATGCACGCTGAAAATGATAGAAGCACTGTGAGAGTATCTTTGCTTTAGCTGTAGGGTAGTGAGATGAAGCGACATTCCTGCGATGCAATCAAATATTGGTATGTCGGTGCAGGTGGAAGTGGCCAAGAGAGTGAAAAGGGCACATGCAACATCTGGGATTCTTTGAGATTGTCTTTTTTGTTTCAGTCGTATGTTGCACTTATAGGTCAAAAATAATGAATGCTATTTTTATTTTTAAAAAAAATGTGTTTCGCAGGTATGTTGTACATATGGGTAAAATGACTTGGGCCACGTCGGACAGTACACACACTGTACCTTCCTGATCATTGTCAGGAAAGTGTAGATAACAAGTAAAAAAATATGGTAAATACCTTTCCTGTTGATTCGCTGTACCCAAATGTTGCGTAGATGGCTGTTCTTCGGAAAGCGATTCCAGGACACATGCTTGGCAGTGAGAGTGGTGTGGGCACAGCCCGGTACACAGCAGGTTGTACCGCCCGTCATGTGGCTTCTGAGGGTGACCTAAGAAGATACTACATTCAGCTGACATCTCGAATAGTGAAATAAATAAGTGAAGTGACCATCAGTTTCAAAGTTGCAGTTGCTGACATAACTCGCTTGCTAAGGGCCCGCTCAACTCACAACCGCTGTTAAGAGCGATTGTGAAGCTATGCGATGTACTACATACGCATACCAGCCGCGACGATGAATCACCGGCGCTCGCGGACGGTCAGCGAACGCGAGAAAAGTGACGCCGCGCGGACGGTTGTTGACGAGCGCTGCCGAGGCACGCCGACCGCTGGTACAGCTTCGCAAGCGTCCGAAGGGCAAAAAGATCGCAACGACAAAGCACCGTCCCGAATGTTGAGCACGCAAGCAGTACTCGATATCCCACGCTCACATTTCACAGGGCGAGCGCATCACGAAGCGAAGGCATGTCGGCCTTCGCTTCGTGATGACTACTTTATTTCTCTGCTTACAGCGGTGACATTTGTAGTGATGTTCGAAACTGCTCTCTCGCGACCGCACACGAGTTAAATGAACGGCCTAGGAGCGGGATAGAGCGTAACGGCAACAGTCAGTACTCACCCCGGGAGCGGCGAACGAAGCGGCGTGGTGTCCGTCGACGGCCGCGTCGAAAACGATGGAATATGCACAAAAACACGTAATATACAGAAGAAATACAAAGCGCTGAACGAAATAGATACACTTATGAACAAGAAAAATACACTGGAGTAGATAAAAAAGAGGATTATTAAGTATAAACAACGAAGATGAAAAGTATGTCTAGAGCGAGGTGATGCGATTCCAACGGAGAGCAGCCAGACGACGGGGGCCGACAGAACACCGATCCCAAGATTCCTCGCGCGCGCGCCGGGGCGCTTGGGAGGACTGCAAATGGTCTATTGGGGAGGCGACCTTGTCAGGGCCATGTCGGCGACTTCGGGGGAGAGAGGGAGGTCCGGTCTCCCTTCGGAATGTCGGTGCGCCTTTTTGGAGAAATTGAGTCTGAACGAGCCCGCGCGCGGAGCAAGACGTTATTCTTTCGCGGTCCCGAGGGCTCCGCGTATTCTGTATCGCGAGACAGAGGCCTTGCCGTGCGCGGCAAGGGACTTGGCGCCGAGGCGCTATTGTTGGCGTTGGGTTGCCGCGAGCGGCATCAGCAGCGCGACGTTTTTCTGTTTTGTCTTGTAAAAAGTTGTGCATGATCTGTAAATATATATTTATTTACTCAACCTCCGAGTCGTGAACGTCACTGAAGCCACCGGGAACGAGCCACCCTCCAGCCAGCGCAGCACCCCACGATAGACGAGAAACATTACTGGCGCAGTCGACGGGGATCGTGGACGTCGTCGGCCACTTCGACAACATCGTGTGCCAGGAAGACGACGAGGCCAGTGCTGGCGCGGAGTGCGGTGGTGTCCATCGGCAGGAGCCCAGGACCAGTCGAGACGACCAGCAGCCTGGCACAACGAGGCACGGCTACGAGTACGCCTGTGGCCGACAGCGACGAAAGCCGAGAAGCGGACGTCGCGTGGGGCGATCGGCGCCGGTGACCTGCGGGTTCGGCGTCATCGACAACTGCCGTGGGCCTGGGGCTTTCGACGGTGACAACAGATTCAAGCAAGCGAACGTCGCCCGCTGTAACTGACGCCAGTGACCTGCTGGTTTGGCGACATCCGAGGCAGCCTTGGTGGACAATAGAGCACTGCCAGGTACGTGGTCGCTTTCCCTTTCGTCGCCGGCTGCCACCCGCGTGCTTAGCTGCATGGCGAAGTGTAACTTGCGTAGGAAGGGGAGCCCTAGTGACGGAGGTGACGAGGGGTCGCATAGGGAAGCGGTTCCGATGAGCGTTCGGTTAGCCCTTGCGAAGGAAAAGACAAAGGAGCTAGAGCGTCAGGTTCGAGTCGCAGAACTCCGGGCGGAGGAGCGAAGAGCGAGAGCGCGGCTCCTAGGGCAGCGCCGTGAAGAGACGCGGCATCGGGCAGCGGAAAACACGGCGCCCGAGGCTCGCTATGTGAGGGAGACAGAACCGGACGCGCGAGGCGACCCGGAGGCAGTCGCGGGGTCCGGGGCCGATCGTGTCGTTCAGAAACCGGAGACGGCCTGGGGGTCCAACGCCGATCGCGCACTCCAAGAAGTAGGGTTTGAGGCCGATCGAGCTGTACCGGGACCACAGGCAGTCGTGAGGTCCGAGGTCGACCGTCCCGTGCTGGGACCGGAGACTGTCGGGGGGTCCGATGCCGATCGCGCTCTCCAGGAAGCGGACACGGTCGTGTTCGAGGCCGATCGTACCGTACTGGGACCGCAGACTGCCGAGGGGTCCGACGCCGATCGCGCTCTCCAGGAACCGGACACTGTCGTAAAGTTCGAGGCCGATCGTGCCGTATTGGGACCGCAGACTGCCGTGGGGGCTGAGGCCGATCGGGCCGCTTGCGAACCAGGGCCTTCCTGCGTCCGGGCAGCTGAAGGGGAGGAGCTCTCGGAGAACCAGGGGTCGGGCCCGGCGCTGGGGAGACTGGTAGATGCCGAGGTCGCGAAGGGGCTGCGGCAGTTGTTCAGATTGGACTTTGGTGTCCCCACGACGGGCCTTGTGGTGAGGATGTGACACCGTGGGTGCCACCAAGTGGGCAGCGCGGGGAGGTACAGGTGCAGGAGCACGAATCGCCGTGGGGCGACAATCTTGGAGCGGGGATGGCGATGGCGCGCCATGGGCGCAGTGTTGGTCCTTCATCTGACCGAACCGACTGCGAAGCGAGTACCGAACACGGTTCCCGGAGGAGACCGAGCCGAGCACGCCTTCGGGGGCCTAATGAAGCTCTGGCGGGCGACACTGTCCTCGCGACACTCGACACAGGTGACCGAGTAAGGGGCGACTGTACGGTGGCAGAGAAGCGCTTTGTCTCGCTTAAGCACGTGGTGTCAGCGGGTGTGCATATGGGGAGGCGATCACTGCCGTGGCCCTTACGAGGTGCCATTGAACTCACACTTGCTGTGTAGCGTTTGCCGCGCTTTTCGAGTTTTGTTTGTTGTCTTTTTGTTTACGACAACGCTTGCAGCGTTCTTGGTGTCGCTGGTGCGAGCAAGACAGGTCCGCAGAGTCTAGCTGAGTGGGTGATCAAGGTTTGGTCTCCGCAGGCATAAATAAGTGTTCTCCTTGTTTTAATTTTCATTTAGCAGGTCGCGCTAGAGGAGCGTGGCTGTGTTTTATTTTTCGCGCTCTCTATACGGGAATGCTGTCAGCTTCGGGAGGCAACCACCGCCGCGGTTTTGTGCAATCGAACGTTCCAGCGTTTTTCGGTGTTCACCAAGCGTTTTCAGTTTTTCGTTTACTGTTGGTTTGCCGGGATTTATTGATGTTTTTGTCTTTTGGTTGCGGAAGCTCTTGCGGCACCAGAGGGGTCGTTGTTGCGAGCGATCCAGGTCCTCAGAGGCCGGCTGAGAAACGGAGTGAAGTAAGAAGTGTTGTCCTTTTTTTTTTCCTCAGTTTTATATAGCAATTGGTGCTAGAGGTGCCTGGCTTGGTTATTTCCAGCCATGTGTTTTGTTGTTTTTATTTTTCGCTCGAGTTTAAGTGGTTTGTTTTTGTGTTCTTGTTGGGGTTTCGGCCATCCTATTTTTGTAACTGCTGGCCAGTCCGGAAGTCCTAGCGCAGTTTTCGGGGGGACGTGTAGGGTTGGCCGGAAGGGTTTAACCGAAAGAGCTCGGGGAATTGGCGGCGAGGTCACCCGAAGCATCCTTCGGAGGCGCCCGATGTCTCACGTTTTCTCTTTGGCGGCAAGCGGCGGCCAGCTCCCGAAAGTGGAAGCAGATTTCCCCGCGTGGGAAGTGAACAAAACCTTCATTCTCCAGGCGGGAGTGGGTGGTCGCCCTTGACACCGTGGTAATTGGGGAGGCGACCTTGTCAGGGCCATGTCGGCGACTTCGGGGGAGAGAGGGAGGTCCGGTCTCCCTTCGGAATGTCGGTGCGCCTTTTAGGAGAAATTGAGTCTGAACGAGCCCGTGCGCGGAGCAAGACGTTATTCTCCCGCGGTCCCGAGGGCTCCGCGTATTCTGTCTCGCGAGACAGAGACCTTGCCGTGCGCGGCAAGGGACTTGGCGCCGAGGCGCTATTGTTGGCGTTGGGTTGCCGCGAGCGGCATCAGCAGCGTAACGTTTTCTTGTTTTGTAAAAATTTGTTTATTTGTAAATATATATTTATTTACTCAACCACCGAGTCGTGAGCATCACTGAAGCCACCGGAAAGAAGCCACCCTCCAGCCATCGCAGCAACCCACGATCGACAAGAAACATTACTCAAGGGAAACACAAAAAGAGGACAAACAGAACAAATTATAATAGTGCCCCATTCCGCTTGCGCAATAGCCCTAAATTTAGTTAAACCACTCCTGTGCTGCATTTTTGCACCTGATGGCTTTTTCGGTTTGTTAAATGTGTGATGTGCACATGCGATCTATTTTCCGCAGCAGCAACCTCGTAACTGACTGGTTTAATGTACCGGCGGTGTGACACTATTTTCACAAAAAGAACAACTGCGCTCTTCCAAGTTTTCATATGGGCGAAGGTAGAGCACAAACACTTCTTCCGCGTGTTGGGCGCCCCACATCAACTTATAAAATTGTACAACTATCCATACCGAAAAAAAAACCAGTATAACTTTCCACTATTCGAATTATGGAACCGGAAATTGGTTTATGGAAACCCGAAATTCAGATTGCAGACAAAAAACAATTTTCTGAAAACCTAAAATCCAGAAGAGTCCAGATAGATTTCCTGTTCCATATTCCGGATAGCGAAAAGTTATACAGGAATTTTCGGTAGAGATACTAATGGGTTGAATCCCTACTTTCCAGTTATACAAGGAAACGGCCCAAACAGCGCAGAAGCCGAGTATTAGTTGAAAGAGAACTGTAAAAGTAAAAACGAAAAAGAATCCTTTTTTTTTTAGAAAGCAGGTGTTTAGTTTGAAGAGGTAGCGACATTATTACCCAGTGTTGGTGAGTAATTTAACCAGCCCATTACGACTGCTTGCCTCGGGTCTGTAGCATGCGTCATGCAACAGTGATATACGACCGTGCAATGCTCATCCAGATCGAAACGAGCAGGGGTGGAACCAATGGTCCCTGAGTTCTGCAGCACTGCAGCACGAGCTTTCGCTCTATGTGCTCTTTCGGAGCTGTGGTACCGTAACACACAGGTCAAGTGCACACCGGCAGCCGACGTTTGAGGCACAAGAAAATAGCATCAACAAACCATAAATAGAAAAAAAAGAATTAAGAAGATGAAGAAGGCGTCCATAATATTTAAAAAATAAGAATATTATTTTTTTCTTAAGTTAGGTTAGCCCTGAAAACAGATCTTTCCAACTAATAAGATAGAAAAATATTTTAGGCTGTCGGAATGGGAAGTATCTCACAGTATCACACTTGTCGATAGGAGCAAGTATGATTCTTGATGGCCATCACCGGAGAGTACAGTTTTCATAACACCAAAGTTTACTCAATATTATAGCAAGATCTGACTTAGGAATCACAATCTCTAATGGTTTATATCTTAGTTGTTTTTTTCATTAATCTACTGAAAGTTATTACCTGAATTTTGAGAGCTATAACTTCAAAGATACTCCACTATGCCGGTGAACGAAACTAAAATTTGTTTCCTGGTATTTGCATCCCAGAAGCTAGGCAGTGCCCCAAAAAAGATGATTAATTAAAAAATATTGGAGTAGTTACTCCATTAGCTACCGAGCACGGTAATCACCTGAAAACACCGTAGTCACTATCCAATAAGAATCGAACATTCCATGCGTTCCAGGTGCCAGCTGCACCTGCGGGAAGAAACCAAG